CCAGTTCCAACCCCCTGCATGGGCAGGGACACCTCCCACCAGCCCAGGCTGCTCCAAGCCCCATCCAACCTGCCCTTCAACACTGCCAGGGATGGGGCAGCCACAGCTTCCCTGGGCAACCTGGGCCAGGCTCTCACCACCCTCACACTCCACAATTCCCTCCTCATGTCTCACCTCAATCTCCCCTCCTCCACTTTTCATCCATTCCCTCTTGTCCTCTCCCTCTCTGCCCTTGTCCAAAGCCCCTCCCCAGGGATCACCAGACCATGAAGAGGTTGCCTTGAACTGATACCATGGACTGATAAATTTTTGCAGCCTAAGTAAACATAGTCTGGAGTGAGCATGAGCCAGGAGGTCCTTATGAGGTTTATTGTTCCTTCAGGGTTTGCCCTTTGTGGTTTTTTAATTGCAAAGAGATGCTGAAAAGCACTTCTGAGATTCCCCCCACCCCCGAGAAGAAGCCTTTCCCACCCTGAAACTTGCTGCCTGCAGCACACGTGGGCTCCTCACAGCACAAGGCTGGTGAGCAAGCTCTACAGCAGCTGCTGCCCCTGACCCACAGCTCCCACAGGAGCTAACAGCAGGGCAGGTGCACGCTAGGACAGAAATGCCTGTCATCTTCCAGACTCCACCTGGAGTACTGTGTCCAGTACTGCAGTCCCCAGCATAAGGACACAGAATTCCTCGAGTATGTCCAGAGGAGGCCACAAGGATGATCAGAGGGCTGGAGCACTTCCCCTAGGAAGACAGGCTGAGGCAGATGGGGATGGTCAGCCTGGAGAAGAAGACACTCCATGGTGACCTTGTAGCAACTTTTCAATACCTGAAGGGGCCCTACAAGAAAGCTGGGGTAGAGCTTCTTCCATAGGTGTATAGTGAGAGGACAAGGAGCAATGGCCTGAAGCTTTGAGAGAGGAGATTCAGGTTGGACATTAGGAAAAAGTTCTTTCCTGTGAGGATGGTGAGATGCTGGCCCAGGTTGCCCAGGGAAGCTGTGGCTGCCCCATCCCTGGCAGTGTTGAAGGGCAGGTTGGATGGGGCTTGGAGCAACCTGGACTGGTGGGAGGTGTCCCTGCCCATGCAGGGGGGTGGGACTGGATGGTCTTGAAGGTCCCTTCCAACCCAACCCATTC